GAGGGAAGAGGTGAGAGGGTAGAGGGGGTGCAGAGGAGTGTCAGAGGGTGAGGAGAGAGGTCTGAGAGGGTGAGAGAGGGGGTGAGAGAGGGGGTAGAGAAGGGTGGAGTGAGGGGGTGAGAGAGGGGGTGAGAGAGTGTGAGAGGAGGGTGAGAGAAAGGGGTGAGAGAGGCGGGTGAGAGAGGCGAGCGAGAGTGAGAGAGATGGTGATAGAAAGGGTGAGAGAGGGGCGTGAGAGAGGCGTAGAGAGAGGGTGAGAGAGAGGTGAGTGAGAGAGGAGCAGAGAGAGTGAGAGAGAAAAGAACAGACATACAGTCAGAAGTAACAGAAGCGAAAAAGGTTTGGGGGGGTTTATGCAACAGAGGGTATTACTCGGGAGAAGCAAACCGACCGCGCCCGCCCGTTGTCCCCTACCTGCATCTAAAATTAGCTGAATCCGCGGGACGACGGTGCGCTTCAACACGCTCTTTTTTGTTCCTCCACTCCTAATCCTCCGTCGCCTCCATCGGCCATGACCCCGCCTTCTCCCACCCGACCCCCCCCCCCTTCCGCCGCCGGAGGTGGTATTGAGCAGCTCGGCTAAGCGCAACTAACAACACCAGGACCTGATACGGGCGATGCGTTGGGAAAGGGTGGGCAACCTCCGCAGCGACCCGCACAGCCCTTCCTCACATTCCCTTCGTCTCGGTTCCTACGTTCATGGGCGCACAGCTCACCGCGTATTTCTTTGGTCTACGTCCTGGATTTGTACCGTAAATAGTTATGGACATTGTGTTTTCTTTACGCCTGTTACACACGGTAATTTCAGATGCGTTTGTCTTATGCAGACCATTTGAACACTCGTTCACCAGCTTCTACATTCACAAGAAAAATAGCTAAACAGAAGCGGTTTAATGTGTGCATTCTCACACATTCCGGGGTTTTATTTAAGACAATATCACGGTGAAATAATATAATATAATAATAATAATAATAATATAATAATAATAATAACAAGAGAATGGTTTTTAAAATTTACTAAGTTTACTTGAAGAGAGTGTGTATCCTTACAAGGCCAGTGAAAACTTCGTGAATGTTTGTCAGTTAGCTGTTGGTTAAGTATCCAACCTTGGGTCCAAACATGTAGAAGAGAAAAGAAGCTGCGCGATCAATTTTATTCATATTATCTATTATCCAAATATCATTTATTTAAGTTTTATAGAATATATGATTTAAATCTAACAAATAGTTACAAATAAAATTCAATAAAAAACGGCAAAATAAACAGTTTCTTTCATTCACATATTGCCTTAATTATATATATAATATATATATATATATATATATAATATATATATATATATTTATATATATATATATATAAAATAAAGTATTTCGGCACTTGGAAAACGTTTACAAATGAGATAAGATTTAATCTCCTTTTTATATAAAATTAAGTATTTCGGCACTTGGAAAACGTTACAAATTGAGATAAGAATTTAACATTGTATAGTAATTGCTTTTAATTTATTCAATGAAACTGTCAAAATCTGTACATAAACCCTTTAAAACTAGGACAAATTTTGCGACGACACACAGGCAGGGGGATGTTACGCTGTTAGGTTATTTACAAAACAGTGTCTGCATATTTTCTCGTCCATAAATATCAGAATATCAATAATTACTTGTTTGAAAATGAACTATATTCTTGACCTTATTCATAAAAAGAGAGACGATATTTTAACGAAACTTTAAGTTATGAATAACAGCCTTTCAACAAAGTAGGTATTAAAATGGAAGTTTCTCCGAGAGAATAGACGCGATACAGGTCCGCATCTACTACACAACCATTTTATTAGGTACACCAACGCTGCTCGTACAAAAGGTTCGTTTCACTAAGTTGCACGTCACTTGGGTGTGAATACAACAGAATAACCCCCGCACAATCAGGAAAGCTTACAAAGCGCAACCAGGGCAGGTAACAACAGTGATTTTACGGACTTTGAACAGCATGATAGGGGCCAGAGCACTCTCTGAATAAAGCGCAGACATGGCATTTCTAAACTATACAAGTATCGCAGTTTCGAGATTGCGTGATGTTTTGTGTCAGTAGCGTGACCTACAAAAATCGAGTCATCTAATACATCAACTACGATAAATCAAAATTGAATTCAACTCACACATCAACTGAATGAACATTCATTTTGAAAATAATATTTTCTTTTCTCTATTTACACATTAAAAGACATGGACATTTACACGATGAGATTTGTGAGATACAAGTAAAACGTAATCCAAATTAAGTAAAATTGAAGTCGGAAAATTTAAATTATTTTAGGGGTAGTCACATTACTTGCTTTATTTGCGAAACTAGCCTTTTTAAATTTACTTAGTCCAATAATCCTTTTGTCTTCTAATCTGCCCCTCAACTTACAAATCCAGAACAGCAGAATTCCTTGTATTATCACCACCACCAAAGTTTTGCATTAAGTAAGTGCAATAGCAATGCTATTGAGGGCAGTGGATATGTCAATGCTAAGATATGTTTACCTCATCTACTATGAAATTATAAAAATTGTTATGGAGCAAAAAATTGTTAATAATTAATTCATCAGCGTTTTCCAATTTCTGTGCTGTAGGAAATATTTTCACTATTTGAATAAGAAATAATGTGCGTTTCGACAGTTTAACTGACGATATTTTCATGTTTAATCGTTTTCCTGTATGATTGTGTTCATTGATATTCAACGATGGCATCCCCAAGAATGTAACTAAAATTACTTTAAGGCTTCCTCGTACATGAGCAGTGGCGGTACAAAAGGGAAGGGGGCTCATGTGGCTTCACCTACCCTTGCCCCAGATGCCGAAACGCATATTCACAAATAGAGTTTTACTTGTTTTCGAAACGATGGTCATACAATATCTCAGTTTGATACATAAAAAATAATTAAAAATCATCAAATATAAATATAATTTAAATTGAGTTTTTTTTAAAATAATACATCACTAAGGTTGAACATGACCTATGTACGAACCTTCGTCTCCTAAAAAAATCTCGTTGCGTCACTGCAGATGATGAATCAAATGAAAATTTACTGCCACATTTCCAACCATGGACAATCCACCCCTTCCGACTGGTAAATCGCCGCTTCAACAAACTTGAGTTCTTTCCGGTCCCAAATTACCTCATCAATTTAATCCACGTTGTCTCGCCACACAGTTCCCCTGAGTCACGCTTCGCTGTCATGTTCCCATCGCGGTTACGCTGCGGTAAGTAGATGAGATTCTTGGAGACCCAGTTACAGAACTGCGTTCTATCGCGCATCACAGCCCTTCACTAAATCAATCAATCCAAGAATGCAAGATTCCCGGTAGGTCGCCGGGAACAGCGCGACCTTGAGCTCTCCGAAGCGAATATAGCAATCTACAACCGCGAATATAGCGGGGGGAAAGGAAGTGCTTCCAACGTCGTGAAGGTTTCAATATCGTTTTCCTTCTCGTCTCTAAATGTACTAACAGCTACAGGATCTAAAAATACTAAGTGCATATACATACGTACATTCAGCAAGTCTTCTTGTATTATTTGACGGACATATAACATTAAATGTTGACCAATGACACGTCGATAAACGTATAATATGTTGGCAATTGAATAAATTGGTGGGTATGATTCATGGGGAGCAAATGTTTTTCAAGCCATGTTTTCGGCCCCCAGGCGCATTGCAACAGTGAATTAAAATTAGTAACTGCAAGCATAAATAACATCCACGTAGATTTCTCTTTCGCAGATTTCACTGCTTAACAGAACTATGATGCTGTGATTGGCAGCTTAAAACGAGGACAATCTTCTTATTGTACATTCCAACAAACTACATCACCCCGAAGTTAAACGTAATTTACGTCCCTTATATGAGATTCCTAAACACAAACCTTGAATTGCTATGGCCATCAGCACTACTCACATACACACATTTATTATAGAATGGAAATGTTAATTACGCGAGGAAAATAAATATCGAAACTATTAAACAATTTCCAAATGTATGTGAGCTTCTGGAGTCTAAGCACATTCACAAAATAATTAACTAGTTCATAGAAAACCTCACCAGAATTTAACAATATAATAACCTAGTTAATATGCAAAAACAGTTTCTTCAAGTTGGATTTTTGGTCGCATAAAATGTGTTCTACTGGCTTATTTCCAAGCCTCTGGTTTAACAATAGGAAATATCGAATACAATGAGATAGCATTTCTTTTGCAGGTAAACCTAAGAGAGTCTAAGACCTTTCAGAGTATAGAAGTACACTATGTGTAGAAACGTTTCTATCATTTCGTCGATCAGAATGGAAAATACATTAATAATGGATAGATCTTTTATTATACTGCACATGCGAATCTTACCTTCTCTCCCCTTCCCTCAAACGATTCATTTCGTTGCAAGTGCATCCATCTGAATACTA